TACAGTGCATATTTTTTGAGGAGGAAATATGTCAGCTGGTAGTACCAATCTACTGAGAATCAGGAGCTCCAATGCCCCTGTAATTATTCATCAGAGGCTGAAAGCAGGAGAGAGGAGGAGGTATGAGTTGCACAGCCATGTGTGGAGATGACTACCTGTTGGTTTCATAGCTCATCACAGACCCAACCATGAAAAGACCTGAACTTCTAGGGTCAATGCTGGAGGACTGTGTCCAGTGTGACTAGGAATATGTGTTCAACAGCATGTGATTTCCTGTGCCTGGACACCTCCACGGACATGAACATGTGTGTGTGTGTGTGCGCACGTGCGCGCGCGTGCAGGTGCATGGGCACATGTGTGACGGGCAACACCCCATGACCTCTGTTTTCAAACACACCAAAAGGCCAGATGCTTTGGGACTTCAGCCTACATAGATTAACTATGGAGCAGACTCAGCTTATGGAATCTAAAATTGAGAGTCATGTGCAGTAAGAAGTTCAAAAGAGCACCTTCAAGAACCCAGATCATGTCAGCTCTAATGGGGGGTCTGCCACTGATTTGTAAACACGTCACTATACATCCATCTGCTGGGACAGGGTGAAGGGTCCTTGAGATGTTGTATGGGATAGACTAGACTTTAAAAAAGAAAGGGTGTGATGGGAACAGAGGGCAGAAGCTGACTGCGGAAGATATGGTTGTACCTGCAGCTCAATGTCCACTTTGCAAGCTCTTCCTAGGCAGCATTAATTCTGGCCAAATAAACTTGTAACAATATCAAAACTTTACCAAACATGGTAGATTGCAGGCCACCTGTGACCCTGCTTCAGGGTGGGCTCTGTTCCATCTTCTTTTTCATCTCATGACATGGGCTGGAGCTGCACCTATCTGGGGTACAAGGGCAAAAGAAGAAAGAGTCCTGGTGCCACCCTGCCATATTTCTAGAAGCATCTGCTCATCTACTTTCATCAGTCCAAGCCTGTCTTATGGCCAAGCCCAGGGTCAATAAAGTATAAGCAGGTGGTGATGGGTGTCTACCAGAGAAGTGGAAGAGTGGGTAGAAATCACTCCAGATGGCTGAAATCTTGAGAAAGAGTTGGATAACATGGAAAATAAGCTAATACATGCAAAGACTGATGACAAAGGGCCTCCGAAGCCATGCTAAGGAGTCTACATTTCATCATGAGGTTAATGGGTGCCATTAGAGGAATTTAAAAATGAGAATAGGACAATCATATCTGGACTCTAATCTGGAAGCTCTGACTGATTTATGATGGATGGACTGGGGAAGGGACCACATTGGGGAGTGGGGAGAAGGGGGAAGCAAAGGAACTAATCTGTTTAATGCCTCCATGTAGCAGGCCCTAGACATGGGCATTCCATTGCAAACTAGAGCAGTAGCCCTCCAAGCACTTCATTCTCCCAAGGCATGGCTCACAGTCCTGGGGGACTGGGCATGGTGCCATATAGTCCTGCCCAGGCACCCACCCATCCACCCAGCATCCCTGACTGGAGTGGGAATCACTGGACCGAAGACAAGCCTATAAGATTCTCTCTCTCTCTCTCTCAAGAATTAGGAACAGAGGCAGAGATCTTGGAGTGCCTCCTGAATGCCCAAAGAGGGGAACACATGAAAAGGTAGGGATGTATTAAAAGGAGAAGAAACAGAGAAAGCTGCTCTTCCCAGAGAGAAAAAAGATCCTCAGACAGAAGTAGAGAAAGGAGACCCTTCTGCCACCCAGAGGGAGGAAAAGTGTTGCCTTGATAGCTATTTTCCAGTTTCTGGTTCCACCCCGCTTAAGGCCAGTGGTGTTCCCTGCCCTTCAATCCATGTGCGCGCCCTGAATCCTTGTAAGAAATTCATTCTTTTGTTTCTTCTGTTGGTCTGAGCGGATTTCTGAGCTTGCGCTCAGCCCAGGCACACTGGGGGCCATGAGTACACACCAGAATTTACCAGCTTGGGGCTAAGACTATCACTGTACAGTTTGCCCTGGTCACAGTGGTCTCCTACTCTGCAGAGGCTTCAGGGAGCAAAGGCCACAAACCCCAGGGTCTGGAGGCTGAAACCTGAGGCAGGCAGAGCTGGCTTCTCCTAGAGCTTAGACCCATCTTCCTGACACCTACAGGGAACTCTAGCCTCTGAGAGCTGGAAATGCCTGGGGAACCTGAGTTCAGAGAAAAAGGCTTGGGGGTAAGAGAGGAGAGTTTGATGAAAAAGCACTCAGTGATACAGGTCAGAGCATAGACTCTGCAGACAAACAGCCTGGATTCAAGAACTCAGCTCTGCCATAGCTGCTGAACTTGGACTTAATGTCTCTGAGCCTCAGTATCACCACCTACAAAATGGAGCAGGTAATTATGCCTGGCTTGTGGAGGTGTTTTGAGATGATGTGAGCTAGCACAATGCTTCCTAATATTACTTTTACTATTGAAAAGGAACTAACGGCAGCAAGGCTTATGGCTTTATGGATTTTGGTCTTAAGAACTGAAATTGCAGAGGCTCCTTATCAGCTGTATGACCTTGGTCAATTTGCTTAACCTCTGAACTATCTCCTCCTTTGAAAATACTAATACTACCCAGTATATAGGATTATGGTACCCACTCTGCATTAGTATACTGTTTTTGATATAGAAGATACTCTACCCATCAAAGACATTAGAACAGATACTCCTGGCTGTCTCTCTCAAGGAGCATGGGGCTGACAAGGAAGGAGTTAGAGAGAGGAGGGGAGTTGCTTTGTTTACTCTAGGTAACATATACACAGTTCACACCCACCCAAGGAGCTTTCATTGTGAGTTCTTGCTTTGCACTCAAGGCTGAGAACAAACACAACAGGGGGAGAAGCCTCAGTCCCAACCCCAAAGGAACATGCAATGTCACACCCTTATGCAGCTATCTTTTCTTTGAGAACTGCCTTAATGAGACGAAAACCCTGGGAACGCCATAAGATAATGCAAAATATTATGGCAGCTGAAGTTGTCTTGTTCCTCTCTGAACCGCGACCCAGTCTTTTCACATGCTTAGCTCATTTCCTTTTCCCCAACCCTTGGGAGCAAAGTAAAAGTGTTTGTTACGCCTACTTTTTATTCCCCCTAGACTGGAAAACTGACTCCATAACACTGTACAGCTTACCCTTGGTCACACTGTTACTTAGTGGCAGAGGCAGGATTTAACCCAGATAGCCTGACACCAAAGCCCACACTCTCCAAGGCTGCCATGGATGGTGAACTACTGACACCAAGGGAGTTGCACATGTACAAGCTCCTGTCTTTCCAACTGCTCCAGAACCTCCCGTCACACACCTGAGCACTTCCCATGATGCCTAGCCCAGGTCTGGGAAATGAGGGGGGCTTGATAACACTCGTCATGTTGAAATTAAATCTGCCTTTAGACACTTAAGTCAGATGCTTTCTGGAAGCACACTGAACATATGCAATTGTGTAAACACACCATCCTATCATCCCAATGACAACAGCCTCAATTATTGAGCACCTACTTTCAACCAGGTGTTCACAAACTTTTATCTCCAGTCCCCAGTGCAACTGTATTCAATAAGCAAATGGTGAATGCTTTTTGTGTGCCAAGCACTGGTTGTTATCCTCAAAGGCAAAATAAGGCCCCAAGATTGAGTGACTTACTAAAATGGCAAGTCTGGACCAAGGACCCAGGCCTGTATGCTGCCAAAGCCCATGTCCTCTGCCCCAACAGCCTACCTTCCCCATATGAGAGCATTTACTAACAATGCACCTGTATTAGAATGGGTGGAACAAAGATGGTAATTTCCAGAAGGCCAACCACACCTGTCATTCCAAAACAGAATGCTACAGTGCTACCACAGGACATCTATTACAGGCTGACACTGACCTGGTCCCTCTGCAGTGGTCTCGTGCACCGGTTTCCCTGAGCTACGTGCCATCCCTGGTAGGGCTATATCTTGTTTCTACCTACTTTATTAAAGCATTCTCACAGTACTGTGCATAAATTAATTAGCACACATTCTTCTAAAAGAAACAGCCCCTGGATTTTAGCCTTAATTCACAGAGACAACAAAATACAGTATTGGATTTCCAAGTTAAGAACAACTTGGCTTTTTCCAGGTTCCCTTTTCAAACGCATACTTACTGGAAAGCCCTGTGTGGCTGCCTTCAATGGTGGGGTGGGAGTGCCCTCTGGCCCAGCCATAGCTACCCAAGTCAGGAGAGCCAAGAGCAGTCACCAGCCAGGGGAAGGGGGTATCACTGATGAGTGGGGCTGATGCATTGTAATTAATGGTAATAAAAATAGATACTGCAGGAGAGAGAAGTGCCAAGCCAGGAATCCCTACTCTCGGATAGAATTTCTCACAGGTAATGGAAAGAAGAAAGAAAAAAAAGTCACTTCTTACAGGAAACCTGATATACACGTTGCCTACAGAGGATTTTTGTAAAGTAACTAAGGAAATGCAACTAAAGCAGCAGCCCCACAAAAATGAGAATAGCTCAACTTGGAAAACTCTCCTACAGCCCAAGGGAACCTGGTACTGCTATAGGCAATTAGATCTTGAATTGCTAAGAGCACAGCGTTGCGTCTGTAGCTTCTAGGTAGCCCTTGGGAGGCTACAGCACCCAGGACTTCTGGCTGGAGAACGCCATGAGTCTTCCCCTGCAAAGGAGGGAGGGAAAGAAGCAGGCTGGAAGCAAAGCCCGGGAGGAAAGAGGAAGAAGAGGGCCATTTTCTTATTGACCTGGTACTTCCCAGTTGTTGCTGACACTCTAATCCCATTGGTCATTCAGGCATCCTTTCGAACATCTCCTGGACGCCCACTGTGTGCCAGGCAGATCCAGACTCTCCAGGGGGCACATGCGACGGTGAAAAGCCAGTGACGGTCCCTCAAGGATCATGCGATCAAATCTTGGCAACTCAGTGCGCCCCGGGATGGGTGTGTGTCTGTCTCCGAAGGAGCGCGCTGCACGGACGCGCCCCACATCTCGTGCCCTGTCTGCCCGTGCGACCGGCCGGTTAGTGCGGGGGTGGTGAGCAGGAAGGAACCGGCAGCCCTCCCCCGGCTGGGCTAGAGGCCTACGGGAAACCGCGCACCGGCCCACCAACCCACCGACCCACCGACCGGGACTCTGGGACCTCCCGCGTGGGGGCGCTCGCAGGCAGAGCCGGCGGCAAGGCAGGACCGGGTGCGCGGGCCCTCCGCGGTTCCGCGAGAGAAAGCCGGCGGCGGACTTCCGCGGCTTCTTAACCCGAAGCTTAGAACCTGGCCCCCTCACCTGGATGCCCGACGCTCCGCGCCCCGCAACCCCTTCCTAGGCAAAGGGTCCCGCTGCCCCTGCCAGCCTGGGAGGGAGCGCCGCGCGGGTAGGAAGGGCTCCGGGACCGAGCCGGGACCGCGGGCGGAGACGGAAAACCCCGAGCCGGGCCAAGCGTCGTAGGCAGGCGGGCTGCGCCCGGAACCTGGGGACCCGTCTCAAGTCCCACTCGGCCCTGGCGCCACCCCGGGCCGATTCCCCAGGTTTGCCGGCCTCCAGACCAGCCCCGAGTTCTAAGTTCTCGCTCTTTTCGTTTGAGCAAGATCCCCTGTGAGCCCGCGGCCTCCAAACCGTTTGCTCGAGAGGGCGTTCCAGGCCGCCGCGTGGGTTCGGAGCGAAAGGCCGGCAGGGCGGAGGGGCAGCGGCGGCCCCCGCGGGATCCTGTTGCTCTGGCCCTGGGAGCCCCGGGCCGGGCCAGCCACGTGCGGTGCAGGCGGCGCCCCGATTCGCGCTGTTTCGCGAGAGCGGCCACCCGGAGCCCAGTGCCCTGCTTCCGCACCCGGGCTCGGGGCGCCGCGGCAACCGTCTTCAAAAACGGAGAATTCCTGCGAGCGGAATTCCCGGGCCCTGACCTGCCCCAAACGACGGCCAAAACAGAAAATAGTGGGGTGCGGCGGGGCGTGGAGGGGGTTTGGTTGCCGAGGGCAGGCGGAGGCGAGGCGTTGCGAGACCGCTTTCAACGAAACGAGACCGAGGCCCAAGCAGGAGGCCAGGTCTGGGCGAGCGTGCGCGGGAACGGGGCTTTGCCGCCGCGGCCCGCCCACCCCTGCTTCCCCAGCCCCAACCCCAGCCCCGACGCCCCAGAGATTCAGAACCGCCGGGAAGGCCTGAGGCGGGCGACGCAAGGGCCCCTGTCTGCCCAGCGGATTTCTGTAGTCTGTATAGGCTGGAAAAGTAGAGAAAAGTTCTGGTCCTCTGGTTTGGTACCGAACCCCTGCCCCTTCTCTGCTGGTCGTTGGAAATAGCCAGCTAGCATTTCCGTCTCCTTAGCACCCCCTTCCTTCGGAAAAGCTCCAACTCAAAGTGAGGGGAGCCCTTGGGAGGCTGATTCCTATGCTTTCTCCCTTTCTCCAAAAGTCCCAGGAGTGGGCCATGCGCCACCCCTGGGATGGGCAATGGGTGCCATCTGTGGGTGCCCAGACCCAGACTGTCCCTGACCAAGAGTCAGGGCAGGGGCATTTGGTCAGTGTGGGCTCATTAAAGAACACCCATCCATACCTGCTGCTGCCTTCCAGAAAGCCTATCCCAGGGGATTTCCCAGCCTACTTGGAGGTGAAAGAGACATTTCAACAAGACCCAAATTTCCAGAGGTCTACAAGTTTTCTCCTCTGCACCCATGGAGCGTCTCCAATTTGTGCAGGACTCTCAAGTGCCTCTTAGGGGAGGAACAGATTGCATATTTCATAGATTCCTTGGATTGGTTGGAGGGGGCGGCAGGGGAGGTAGACCCAAGGTATCTGGCACCCTCGGGCTCTCCAGTGGCTGCTCTGAGCACTGGAACCTGGGGCTGAGATTGCCTTAGGGTCAGGCTGGCATCTATCAAGTCCTGGAGGACCCAAACACCTGCCAGTTGCTCTATCCTGTGGGCAAAGGCTGGCAGGGAGGGATGCAGAGTGTAAAGAGGCCCTAGCTGACCTCAGTAGCCTTTTTAAGGGCAGGCACTCAGGTGCTGCTGTTAGCAAGAAGTTTTAGCCCAGACCTACTAGAACCAGTTTCCTACAAATACGAAGAAAGGGAGAGTGGCATATGGACATACGTGCGTGCATTGGGTAATGGTGATACAAGATTTCTGTGCTTACTCTTTTCATATGACACACACACTATTTGTCCAAGATGGCAGGTGCCACGGGTATACTCCTGCTAGGTCTGACTCTTGGGCTCAGCACCCAGAGGCCACGGAGAGATCAACACTAGAAGGGGCAGGAAATCTGAAGCTCCAGAAAATCTGCCTTAGCTGAACATGGGCAGGACCCAGTTCCAAAGGAAGTTCAATCTTGCAGCTCCAAGGGGCCACTGAGGGGCATATTCCCAGTAGAAGCTGTGGCTGAGGGTGCAGTTTACTCACCTTTTCAAGGTTAGTATTCTTAAACTCACTCCAGCAACAGGGACCTGACAGATCACACAGGCCTCACCTAATAGTGGAGAGAATGAGGTGGAGCAGGCTGTAAAGGGGCCCAGAATCTCATGCCAGGAAGTCACTGCCCAGTCCCACCCGCTTGCACCAGACCAGGTTGCTCCCCCACAGCTACAGCCTGATCGTGCCAAGATGTAAGGCAGCCCATGGCCAGAGCTGGGACCTGCCTACCGGTTGTTAACCCTGTGACTGAGAAAGGGGTCTTGGAAAGAGTAGGTTGCCCTTTCTTGGGATCAGTAAGGTGGGCTGTGAACCTCAGTGCAGCCAGGGATATGTATTTCCCCATGTTTTCCAGAGTCCTCTAAGCCCGACTCTGAGGTGAACTCTGTGTGGCAGCACACAAGATTCTGGATAAAGTGGCCTGGACACAGCAGGGCTCCTCCCAGCAGACAGATGCAGGCTCTGAACATGCCACCTGAACTTTTGCAGGGAGCTGTTCCTGCCACTGGTTTGGAACATACTTTGATAACCCTGTGGTCTCAGGACACCTGGACAAGCCCCCAGAGGCAAAAGTCTTAGGGAGACTTGGGTTCCACTCTTTCATGCCTGCAAGTTCCCCAGAGGACTGCTAGAACACTAGAGTAGGGAACTTTGGGAAATGTTGCTAAGGGTTAGACGAATAAATAGTGCCTTGCTCAAAAACACCAAGCAAAGTCAAAACCTGAACCAGGGGTTCTGGCCCCCCCATTCCAGTGTTCCTAGCACCAACCTCCGAGTAAATTTAAAGGGGTAGGAACCGAGAAGCGTAACCTAGACACAGACTGCAGAGTCCTTAACTGGATGCCGAGGTCAGGCTGTTTTGGTTTGGGTCGTCCTGGCACTGGGATCCAGCGAGACTCCGGCTTCCAGGCGAAGCGGAGGTGGAAAGGACCACTCAGTGAAGGATCTAACCCCGGGGCTTTTCAAAACCGTAGGAACAGCCACAACACCCCCCTCTTCCACTCCAGCTCTTCCATCTACTTGCCTGCCCTTCTCGCAGAGAACCAGCAGCACGTGTTTACATACGCGTCCTGACAAAGAAGTAAAAAAGCAAGATTCACTTTTTAAGCCCCTCATTCCGGAGCTCAGCGACCCGGTTCTCATGTTGGAGTTGGCCAGAGCCGAGTCGGAGTTGAGAGGCCAGAAGTTGGGGGATCTTGCCTCCACTCGATCCTCCCCGACCACCCACAGGGGAAGCGCCACGAATTCAAGATTCCCTGCCCTCTCCTTCCCGTGGGCAGACCACCGGCGCTGCCCACCGGAGTTAACTTCCGTAGAGGCCGCACGGAAGTGCCGGGCGCATTTCGGGAGGTGGGACCCGTGGGGTTAAGTCTGTGTCCCCGCCCAGCGAGAAGCAGAGAGCGCTCAGCGGGGCGGTACCGGCCGTGGGGCAGCCGGCCCGGTTAGGAGACGAAGGAAAGGCGGGATCCTCCAAGAAGTAGATTGTCAGGCGTCTGCCTGTGGCCACTGCCAAAATTTCCCCACTTCTCTCTCTTACTCCCTCCCCCTTTCCCTCGCAGACCGGTCGGGTCCCGAGCTCCTAGAATGGGGGTGGAGCACTGTCTGCAGGAAAGGTCAAATCTTTGAGGGCCGCCCGAGAGCATCCAAACTATTCCACCCCACTGGTCGGCTCCTGGGCACAATCCACCCGGCAAACAGCGGCCCCAGGAGCGGCGTGATGACCCAGGGGGTCATTCGGAGAGGCCCTGCGAAAAGCTGCCCAAAGTTTCTTCCCCCTCGTGGCTCCCTCCTCCCCTCTCCCTCTCCTTCTTCCCGGCACCCCCTTAAACAGTCCTCCGCCTTCTCTTCTCCCCTCTTCCCTCCCCACCATGGTCCTCCCCTTTTCTCCGCGCGTCTCCACTCCGCCCCCCCCCCCACCCCCACCCCCGATCCAGCACCTTCCTTGCTCTTTGGGCGTCCGCCCCGTCAATCACCGCCGCCGCCAGCCCCAGCCCGGCCCTCACCTCCTCCCGGGCTCTTGGAGAGCCTCCGGCTCCTGTCTCGGGCCGCCCTCCGCTCTGCGCGGAGCCGGGCGATCTGTCAGCGGAGCCGGCCGGGGGGAGCCGCCTGGCCCGCCGGGGCTCGGGTTACCAGTGACTGACAGCGTCTCCATGGCGAATAATTTGACTCCGACTATTGTCTGGCGCGGGCAGGCCCCGGGTCAGATAACCAGACCAATCAGGGCTCGGGCCGCAGCGCCTCATGCCCGCTTAGAATAATATTATTAAAAAAGCAGCGAGCAAGCTAGACGGGAGGGAGAGAGCGAGAAGCGAACGAGGGAGCGGCGGGCGGGCGGGCGGGAGGGCGCGGAGCATGCGGAGCGGCGCCGCGGGCGGCCCCCGGGCTTGGACGAGGGCGCTGGCGAGGCGCGCGGCTGGCGGGGGCGCGGAGCGGCGCGGGATCCACGGCCCGCGCGGGGACGAACTGCAGTGACTCCGAGTTCGCCGGGAGCTAGCGCCAGGCCAGGGCCCCCCCAGTCCGCCTCTTGGCTCAGGACGGTCCGGCGGGGAGGCGCCCATGCCGGACCGCGCGGCGCGCTGAGGGCGCGCGGGCGGGCGCGGGAGCAGCCGGCAACATGTCCATGCTACCCACCTTCGGCTTCACGCAGGAGCAAGTGGCGTGCGTGTGCGAGGTGCTGCAGCAGGGCGGCAACATCGAGCGGCTGGGCCGCTTCCTGTGGTCGCTGCCCGCTTGCGAGCACCTCCACAAGAATGAAAGCGTGCTCAAGGCCAAGGCGGTGGTGGCCTTCCACCGCGGCAACTTCCGCGAGCTCTACAAGATCCTGGAGAGCCACCAGTTCTCGCCGCACAACCACGCCAAGCTGCAGCAACTGTGGCTCAAGGCACACTACATCGAGGCGGAGAAGCTGCGCGGCCGGCCCCTGGGCGCCGTGGGCAAGTACCGCGTGCGCCGCAAGTTTCCACTGCCGCGCTCCATCTGGGACGGCGAGGAGACCAGCTACTGCTTCAAGGAGAAGAGTCGCAGCGTGCTGCGCGAGTGGTACGCTCACAACCCCTACCCCTCACCTCGCGAGAAGCGCGAGTTGGCGGAGGCCACGGGGCTCACCACGACGCAGGTCAGCAACTGGTTCAAGAACCGGCGGCAGCGCGACCGGGCAGCCGAGGCCAAGGAAAGGTACGAGTAAGTAGAGCTTCCACACCAGCTCCCCCAGGGCTCGAGGGAGAGGGGGTCCCGGGACGTCCACTCAGCCCCTGGAGAGGTCTGAACTGGGCCCCTGGGCCCAGCCAGGGCCCTGCTGCAGACTGATCTAACCCGGACTGCTCTTTCGGGGGACCAGGAGATCAGAAATTTGTCTAAAGCGGGCAAAGCAATCGGGAAGTCGTCAACTCACTCCCTGGTCGCTTGTGCGCAAAGCAGCGAGCCTCGGGGTCAAGGCAAGACAGTAGGCCTGGATTCCTGGCAAGGGGGGCGGGTACCGCAGGCAGAGCCTGATAGTTCTCCGAAGGTCGGAGGGCTGAGGGGTTTGGCGAGGACTGTGGGGTTGCGGGTTTTAAGACTGCGTGCGATTATTCACCAGCTCTTCCTGGAACTTTCAGTCAGCCTCACTCAGCAGCACCAGGCCGTGTGATTAAGGGTCAGGACCGGGATTAGAACTTGCCTGATACAACCTGGATGTAGAGGGGCCTAGAAGAATTTTCCTTGTCTGGATAAGGGGGATGATAGGGAAAGCCTTTCATCCCGCATTGAAAGGACCAAGAGGCAAAAGGCTTGGGGAGGAAGTGTCAGCTCCCGGAGAGAAGAAAAACACATGTCCCGTTTTCTGCCTTGTGGGACCCAGCAGCCTTTCCCTGGATTGCCAAGCCTTTAGCTCCTCTCTCCTTAGGCTCTACCCTCTCTGGCAGGTAGGTCGGTAGGTCTAGGGTGAGCTGAGAGCAACAGAAGGGCTGGGAGTCACTCGTCCTCAGAGAAACCAGGACTTCCTGAACTCGCTTTGCAGTTGACAATGAGGCCCCTGTGGCTTTGGCCTCTCAGAACCCCAGATCTGGAGGAGAAGATGGGAGAGAAACTGTGGGAACAGACTCCAACCTGAGTGTAACAGCAAAATAAGACACCTGGGGTCTGTGGTACTGGGTGTGTGCAGCCCAGAGTGAAGGACAGGGGTCAGAGTGGGGGTGCTGAACCGTGTAATCTGAGGTGGGGAAGAGGCTTCCGGCTGACCCTGGTCTCTAAGACCATGAGGTTGGGGTATCCACAGTTGGAAGGATTCAGCTGCCAGCCCTGTGGAAAGTCCTCTTCCAGGAAAACAGAAAGAAAAGGCCCTGGAAAGCCAGTACAGAGAATCTACCTAAATTCAGATTTCCAAATCTGGGTGAGGGGATGTTGGTGAGGGAGGGTCTCCTGTGGAGAACCCTGCAGGAGGGGGGTTCTCCCTGTGGAGGCCCCCCTCCACCCAGACTGGCATGTATGCAGAATCCTGAAGAACTAAGTGCACAGGCCAGGCCCAGGTGAAGGCGGAAGAGTCAGTTTCTGGTATGGTGGGAGAATCTAGGCCGGGATTAGCAACCTTCTTCCCTGTCTCTTCTCTCAGAAGCCACCCTCCACACCCCCAGCCTCAGGCCCCAGCTGAAGCTTCCACTGTGCCACCTAGGAATGGGCACCTTTGCACCCTTCGGGCCTCGTTAAGTAGGCCCCACAGGGAAAACTCTAATGGGGCCTGACCATTTGGAACTAGAGGGAAAAGACCCTTAGCTCCGGAAACCTGTCCCTTGGACAGAGATTTCCCTCAAGCAGAGGAAAGCAAAAGGAGATGAGGACCTGTGAGATTTCAAGTCCTCAAGTGGACCCTCAGCCTAGAAGCTAGGGTTCCTGACTCTCCTGGTCCCAGTTCTCCACAACAAACCCTGGCTTTGTTTTCAGCCAGGAGTGATCTGAAAATCTAGGCACCTTCTCTTCGTCCCTGTCCCTCTCCGTGACAACTCCATGAACCCTGCTCCTCTGCCCCTCTGCTCTGGAAAAGAAAGGTTAGCCACTCGGTGGGGGCAGGCAGGGAGGGCAGATACAGGGAAAGCAGAAAGGTATCCCTGAGATTTGAGAGCAGGAGAGGTGGGGAGACAAATGATACAGGGAGAAAGTATAGAGAAAGAAACCGGGTCTGGAGAGACTAAGCGAACCAGAGCCCAGACCTGGAGGAGAAAATGGTAGAAACCGAAAACACCCGCAGGCTGCGCGGCGGCTCTGGCTCCCGACGCTGCGCCGAGCGGCCTCTGTTTCCCCGCTGACCCCGCTGCCCCCGCTGCTTTGCTCCTGCTCTTGCAGGGAGAACAGCGAGAACTCCAACGCTAACAGCCACAACCCGCTGGCGGCGTCACTGAACGGCAGCGGCAAGTCGGTGCTAGGTAGCTCGGAGGACGAGAAGACGCCGTCGGGGACGCCAGACCACTCGTCGTCCAGCCCCGCGCTGCTGCTCAGCCCGCCGCCGCCCCCGGGGCTGCCGTCCCTGCACAGCCTGGGCCACCCTCCGGGCCCCAGCGCCGTGCCCGTGCCCGTGCCGGGCGGAGGCGGCGCGGACCCTCTGCAGCACCACCACGGCCTGCAGGACTCCATCCTCAATCCCATGTCGGCCAACCTCGTGGACCTGGGGTCCTAGAGCCCCGCCTGCCTCGACGCGCTTGCCTTCTGGCCTGGGCACTGGGGATCCAAGAGGGACCGTGTCCGAAGGGCGGCCCGCGCCGGCGGCCCCACCAGGTACTGAAAGGCCGGCGCGCTGAGCGGGCAAGAACTGCCGGCCGGGTAGGACGGATGGCTCTCTGGTTTAGTCTTTGTTCGGGACTTTTTTTTTTTTCTTTTCTTCCCAACAAGTTGCTTTGGAGGTCCTTTGGAGGCCGGGACCCGGTCTTGAACCAGGGAAGGGAATAAATTATATACCATTCTCCTACTCTTTCTCTTTCCCTGCCTTCTCCTCCCCTCTCTTCTCTTTCTTTGCCTTCCTTGCTCGTTCCTTCTTCCTCTTCCTTCCCCCTCCTTCTCTTTTCTCCTTTCCCTTTCTTCTTCTTCTTCTTTCCCCCTTTTCATTGTATGTTTCCCTCTGTGCCTCTTACTTGCCACCTCTCACTGGATTTCTGTTACTCTGCCCCTTTTTCTGTCTCCTCTCCGCCAGCCTCTTGCTCCTCGCAAGCTGTACCCCTTGGTGTCTCTCCTTGTGCCTGGCCATCTGCGTGCCGTCCACCTATTCCTCACTTTCCTGGGGTGGGGGTGGGAGTGGGAAGGGAAAGAGCGAAGAAAAAACAGGGCCTTTGAACCTGGGCTTTCTCCAGAGGCCCTTCCCCGAGGTGTCAGCTTTGCGCCCAGTAACTTAAGTGAAGGAGAACGGGCCAAGGAGCAGAAGCCCCTGCACGCCCCCTTGCCTCCAGCCCCTCTGTCTTGGTGAGGCCCTGCCAAGCTCTCCTATTCCTCCCGGGACAGTGGCCACCCGGCTCCAGGCGGAGCGTGCCTCCGGAGCTGCAGACTTGCCATCTCCCTGTTATGCCCTCATGTGAATGTTCTTCGGGAAATATTTCTGCTTTTATTTTATAATAAAATTAGAAATCATAAATATAAATATGGATATATACCACAAGGCCTGCCAGCAGGACGTGCAGCTGTGTCTGATTTCCCTACAGGGACTCAACACCCCGGGTGGACCGTTCTGGGCAGCTATGCCCGGTAAGTCCCGGAAACTGGGAGATGCCTTCCCACATACACAACCTATATCAATAGCCAAGTGAAGGGACTGAATACTCTGAAACCTCCTGCCCCAAAGCCCTCTGTCCCTTTTCTTGTCCCAGAAGCTCCCCGCAGGAGTGAGGAAGGGGCAGCTGCTCTTGGGGACTCCTCTGCCCCCACCAGCCCAGCAGTGTCCTCAGCTGGCTCTTTCTTACCTGGGGATGGGGGAAGGAAATGAGGGTCTGTGTGCGGAATGTGGGTACTGTGTTTGAAGATGCCAGGGCTGGGGAACAAGTTGGGCCATGGAGTTTTCCTAAAGGGCGGACTCCTTAGCGGTGATCGCAATGCCCAGAACCAGGTGGAAGGCACTGGGCAGATTCGCTGGACGAAAGGGAAGCCGCTGATCCAGCCGTGAAGCCCGGATCAGGCGTGTGGCCGTGGAGGAAAGGTCTCCATACTTAGAAATTTGTTGGTTTGGGGTGGAGACGAAGGGGCTTGGGGAGGAGGGGAGTCCTGGAGACTGGACAGGCCCGGCTCTCGGAAAGCGTGTTCTGAAAGGGAACAAGCAGACACCAGGACTTGGCTGGTCAGATCGAGGAGTCCCTGCCATGCGTGGTGCCTCTGCACTGCCCCCTCCCCTCTCAGGGATCCAGCCTCCCCGCACCCCATTCAGCAACACGTCTAAGCCGGTCCTGGCAGATCTGAAGCAGGCGGGATTCCTCGCCAGGGAAGTTGTGGCTTTTTTTCGTGTCAGGTCTTGGGGGGCTGTTGGAACAATATACTTGCCTCCTCTGTGACAAGGACACTTGTGACCAGATCTGGTGGCCCTGGGTGAGAAGGGATGGAGAGGATGAATGCTCTTGCAACCCGTGATCCTGGAGCTCGGGGACTTAATGTCTGGCACTTGACTCTTTGGTGAAATCGCCGCTAGAGGAGAACCCTTTTGCGCCGACTTTCTAAATAACAAGGATCTTTCCCAGTAGAGACCCTAACGACTCCGGCAGCTGGGCGTCTAATTTGGAGTGGGAGGCTTTGCCCCACACTTCATTCTGTGCAGGCGTGGGAGTCAGGTTTTACCCAGCACAGTGAGATCACATCAAGCGCCCAATGTTCCCTGCACCCCAAGAGGAAGTCCAGCCCTGGCAGCTCCTGTGGCCTCTCCTGGAGGCTGTGCTCTCTGCCAACAACTCAGATTTTCCTTGGTGGGAGTGGCCCCACCCTTGATGCCTGGCAGGGTAGAGCTGAGGATCCACAGAGGCTTGAGAGAGCGAGAAGCTGTCTTGGGTCAGCCGGCAGGTCGGTGATTACTTCTGGAAGGGAGGAAAGACAGGAGTCCTGCAGCCTGAATCACCCCTATTGTCCCCCATTTTGCATACTCACAATCACAGACAAACATGCTCTACACCAGCTTTCACAAGGACACACATATTTACAATTTGATTCACTGTGCCATGCACTGTGGTTAGTACAAAAACACTCACCCACTCACACTTGGTGGCCACATAGGGAAATCCATCACACAAAACTCGATCATACATATGTTCACATGCACACGAACAAAAATAAACACACATAGACACTCTAAAACATGTCCTCAGGTGAAACACTCTCCTGCACAGATGTAGTGAGATACCTACACAAGTAAGCCCTTCCCTCACCGATGTATTCACGCATGCGAACACAAACCCCTGCTTCCCCCCAGAAACCTGCATATCCACCCTCATAACCAGTGCCCTTGCCAGCAGCCAGTCCCAGCACATTGACCTGCTGGGGCCAGAACACAGCCACGAAGCACAGCTGGCTCTGAAAGCCTAGGCTGCAGGAGCTGTGGCCCAAAGAAAGATGCTAACCCATCATCTCTGCAGATGGCTAGGGCTCCCAGCTGCAGCACCCTCTCTCCCCAGACCCAGATGGGATCAGTGGAGTTAGCTGGGAGCTCTGATTTGGCCAGTAGGGGGCGGGGTACCTGTCCTGGAGCTTTATTCAGGCTTAGTGGTGCTACTTGTTGCAACTTCGCTCTTTCCCTCCGCCTTGGAAAGTTAAGCCTGAAAATATTTATTTAAAAAGGGAAACTATGCAGAAGTTCTGAAAATAAACCTAAGCAGCTACTTACCCACTGTATAAATCCAACCCTCCACTCCACACTCCACTAGACCTGCCGCACCAACTGTACATAACTTTTGCACAGATGTTGCCAGGTGAATACAACCATTCCCTGTCCAGGCCTTCACCAAACGGGGTTCCCGATGACTTGTCACCCCTCCCCTCTGCCAGTAGTCACTGAAACTGAGAGTTTTGCTTAGGCCACTTGAAGGGACGCAGCAACTAGGGACGCAGCAACTAGAAGCATGAGTCTCCCTTTCTGCTTCCCCAACCGTGTTTGCTGTTCATTTATTCCCAGCCAGGTCCCATACCCATGCACACTTGAAGCTAAAACTCTAATGAAGAAGGTAGAATGCAGGCCTTGAGAACAGCTGGCCAGCTCCTCTGCTTGGGGGACTTAAAAGCCGAGGGCTACTGAGGGCAGAGGGGAAACTGAGGGCTGGCTATGCTGCCTCCGCAGTCTCCTTCCATGCCAGGCACTCAGCAGCCCTCTCCAGGCCTCAGGTCAGGCCTGGACCTGATGTGCCTACCCTGAAGGACATCTCGAGGGAGTGACTCGTCTACCTAAGGAGCAGGTGGTGATGGGACACCACACAAGAAAAGGTTAAACAGAGCCAGGGAGATCTGGGGAGACTACAAGTCCACTCAGTCTTCAGTTTAACCCAGTCCCTGTAGGACACACCATTTCAGTACCTGCCAAAAACAGGGACCAGCCGAGTGGGGGTACCAAGTCAGGACATTGGGAATTCGGCCTCCTGGATTCCAGCAGCTCCCACCTCTTGCCCAGAAGGATGCTGGGGGGCGGGGGGAGGGGGAAGAGGGCTTTAGACAGAAGATGTGTGAACCTTCTCATATTGAGGGTGGGTGGAGGATGCAGGTCTTGGGCTCATGACTGGGCCCCTTCCTTTTTTTCGCGTCACCCATCCCAACGCTGCGGCTTAGGTACCCTTGGCACTTGGAGTTGACTAAGGAGGCTAGAGAGGAAAGCGACTCAGTGCGTGAGGATGTACTGCCAGATGTGAGAAGGCTCATAAGCGTGTGTGAGCTCAATAGGGTGGAAAAACGCGCCGGTGCGCCTTGAGACGGCAGCTCTTTTGAGTACATAGGTGAGTGGGTGAGCCACTGAGCTGCCCAGGGCACTTGAAGGAGCCCAGAATGAGGCTTGTGAATAGAGGCGCCTGGGGCTGGAGGAGAACCAGCCTCTCCTCTCGAGCCGCGGGAACCCAACCCTGCCAGAATTGGTCCTGATTCCTGGACCCGCTGTTGGACGCAGGCAGCCTGAGTGGGGAGGAAAAGAGGGAGGCTGGAGCCCAGAAAGATCTCGAGTCCCTGTGTCAGGGTCAAGGCCTCACGTGCCTCTTCTCCAGAGTCTCTTCTCTAAACTCCATGGGTCCCTGTGCGGCTGAAACTCAAAAAAGGTTTCTCCTGGGTGGAATCGGAGAGGAGAGGATCAGAATGGGTGCCCTTCAAGGGGGTGAGTTTTCCCCATCGGTGCTCCTCAATCACAAAAGCAGGGTTGCTTCCGCGCTAGGTGAGAGACTTTAAATAAGACCATGTGGATGCGCCTGAAGAAAGACCCTTTGCGAGGCCCGACAGGCTGTCCTAGTCACCCCAAAGGCTCCCTTTCTTAAAGGGCGCACAAACCCGACAGGCTGGCACAAGGGACGCCTTCTTTAGGATGTTAGCAGCCCTGGCAAAGGCCAGGGCTAAATACAGAACTACCAGCCGCCCGGCCCTGCCAGAGTACCCCATGCGTCCTCACTGTTTGACTAGCGTGCGGCGGCTGGGACTCTGGCAAGCTGCTCCCGGGCGGCTGAAGCCTTCGAAGACCCAGCCGAGCGC